TACATACATACATACATACATACATACATACATACATACATACATACATACATAAATAAATAAGATATCATCACCGCGGGGAGGGGGGCGATGATAACTTCTTCAATGGCTCAAGGGGGCGTTTCTTTCAAAAAGGTTAAGAACCACTGACTTAGAATACCATGGTAATTAAGTAGTAAAACTATTAGCTAGTTAATCATTGTATTGTTTTATGGGAAAGACTTTATTGTTTTGTTTTTCCTCCATCTGCAGAAAGTGAGTGAGAAGGTTGGTGGAGCAGAAGGAACCAAGCTAGATGAAGATTTCAAAGAAATGGAACGGGTGAGTTGCATCTTTATGTGATTGCCCCATTGGCTGGTGACTTTACTTTTGAAATAAGAAATAAAACAGGAAGCAAGTGAACAAATCCTAGGTTAATCAGCATATTATTCTTTATGGATGGATGTGCAATGGATGGATGTACAACAATGTATTAACGTATTTGGATGTTTCCCATGAAGGATTGGCTAGTGAGCGTTATCACCTTTTTTTTTTTAATGCTAGAAATTGCTTCTTGTGGGAAGAGCTATTGGCAGCAGCCCTATTTCTGCAGAGGATTTGATGTTCTCTTTCAAAATCATCAAATTACACTGAAGAGTTTTGTGATACTAACAAGGCTTAGTTGGCACAAATGTCTGTGTATTTCAGCCCACTTGGTCACATGCATTCACTGAGGTGCAGGTTGCAGTGCACGACAAGGCTGGTGCCAAGTAAAATTTCCAAGTTGCCACAAGTTAACCTAATTTACTTTTTTTGCTGCAATCATCACCAACAACTACTCCAACCTCTTAAAAACACTCATGTAATAGAGGGTCTTCCAAATGTTCCAGATATTTTTAGTTCCACTCCCACAAGCCTCAGTAGCATGGGTACTAGTAAGGGGAGATGTGGGTTGTCAATCAAGATTTCTGGAAGGCCTGAGTTTCCCCACATTTAATCTGGTATAGCAGGTTTTATATGCTGTAAGAGTGTGGACCTACATGATGAGTCAATCAGACAGAAAACATGAGTTTTACTTTATTATAGAAGATATAAAGAACTTTTTTGTTACAACAAATAGGCTTGTATGGTAGTGCGGCTTACAAGATTATCCTGGTGGATGGCTATATAGTATGTATATCTTGGAAATGTTATATTTCCAGTATTTTTATTTTTATTTTTTCTTCTGTGTCGTCTACAGTTGCCAAGGGATTGTAAGAGCTGCAGACCAAAAAACATAAGTTCTCTCGGCTCTGCCTTTATTGATGAAGGTTATTAATGATCTGTCTTTAACATTGCAATCAGAGCTGCTATATTTATTCAGCTAATCAGTTAGCTCATTTAATTAAAACCTTTAGCTGCTTGATAAGGTCTTTCTCTGACACAGAATATGAGATTGTATTGTAGAACTTCTACTGTGAATTGAACTGTACAGCTTTCGTCAGAAGGCAGATTGAATTATAATAAAATACTAAACATGTTGCACAGAAAATCAGATATGTAAATGATATTCTTCAAGGATGTGCTGTGATAGAGATGGGTAATGTACCCCTCCAGATATGATTAGATTACTACTTCCATCACCCCTCACTGCAAATTACACTGAAGAGTTTTGTGATACTAACAAGGCTTAGTTGGCACAAATGTCTGTGTATTTCAGCCCACTTGGTCACATGCACTCAGGTGCAGGTTGCAGTGCACGACAAAGCTGGTGTCAAGTAAAATTTCCAAGTTGCCACAAGTTAACCTAATTTATTTTTTGCTGCAACCATCTCCAACAGCTATTCCAACATCTCATGTAATAGAGGAACTTTGACTGCAGTACTGCAATTTATCCACCCAGGCTGGCTAGAGCTTGCCCTCCAACAATATCTATAGAGTCAGAGATTGCCCTCTTCTATAATATCTTTTTATCCTATCATAATGCTACCATATCAGGAATAAAAACAGAAGAGTTGTGGTACCCTTAAAAATTCATCAATTTGTTTCAGGGTGAGCTTTCATGGAGCACAATCTGCTTCCTCAGGCACACAGAACATAATAGTTGTGTCACAAGTTGATATACACATAGTACATGGTCAGAGTACATGGTCAAGCACAATACAAAAGAGAGGACGACAGTTCCATTGGGTTTTCAGGATAATGGCCCTGTAGCAGTCAACCAAAGTGATGATAGCATAGATATCCTACTGAGGACACTTACACGATTGTGCTGAGATGGCATCATATCAAAGAGAAGAACTTTTTTGTTATACTATACCAAAGGCTAACCATTTTGATGGATCATTATTATGATTCATGAAACCACACACTGAAATAAATTGGCTAGTCTTTAAGGTGCAACATCACTTCTATTTTTGTATACATGCTAAATCGAAGCAAAGCAAAAAACCGAAGTGTTCTGCTTATATAATGCTTAAAGCACTCTCTGGGCAGTTAACAATTGAATTATGCAGGGTACACATTCCCCCCTCCCCATGAGTTGCACACTCAATTTACCAACCTCAAAAGGATGGAAGGCTGAATCAATCCTGAGCTGGCTTCCTAAAGGCTAAAACTGGTCAATTAGGATAGCGAAAAATAAGTAAAGAAAAGAGAAGAATAAATGTAGACTGTAAGTTGGGTAGGGCAATGTGGGATGGGAAAGGTTCTGGTCAGAAACCTAAGCTCAGCCTTGCCACCACCACCACCCCAAGTTGGGAGAAGATGTAACCAAGTGCAATTGGTGGGAAGGTGGGGGGAGAAGAAAGTTAGTTGTGGGGTTAGAAAGGGTTTGGGAGATAAGAGGTTATTATTTAGATGGGTAGATGTGAAATTTAAATTTGGCTTGTGAATTATACATATATATGTATGTTTGAAGATTGTGGAGGGTGTTCACAAATTGGGATTAGAGATGCAAGAATTAGAAGACAAGAATGGTTAAAAATGTAAGTGTCAAAATGGAATCTGAAAGTCCTAGGATCAAAAATGAAAACAGTTAAAATTCAGAGAGTTTTATATAAAAGAGGAGCTGACATAGAAACTCATAAAAAAGAAGGGGTGAATTAACTCAAAGGAAAATGGATTGATTTTATGAAAAATCATTTGGTACATCAAAATCTAGAGCGGTAGCTACACTGATATCTAAAAAATGTGAATTCAAGGTTAATTTAGTAAATAAATATGAAAAGTAGGTGGATAATGATACAAGAAGAACTTAGAGAGGGATGTTTATTAGCCAAATGAGAACCAAGAAAAACTTTTTAACATAGTGTTTGAGGAATTAGGTAAAGTAAGGAGACTTGTCAAAGCTGGGAAAGGGGTACCCAGTGACCCCTTTTCCTACAGCCCCAAGGCTCCTAGAAACTCTGGGTAGTTCTACCACCACCTCGTCATTCTGTAACAACAATAGAAGACAAAATATTTCAGGTAGCTTGGTCTGAGAACAGTGAGACACTTTGGACTTAGATTTGAACGAGGAGAGTTCTGCGTTCCACACCACAGTGGATAGTTTAAAGAATAATTTAACTTTATTAGAAGCAAAACTGAAAAAGCATTGTCTAAGAAGCTAAGTAATAAAATTACACAGAGTGCTTCCCCATCTCTTAGGCAAGGTACAAACTTGGTTAAAGGAATTTCTACAAAGCATCTATTATCTTTAGACTAAGTTTCCTAACTGACTTGGTTCGGCTAGCCTCAGGCAGCCTACTTACATGGATATGGATTCCCTCTTAGGCTACATCACTCACAATCTCTTGGAAGATAGAAAGTGACTAACTCAGCTTGCCTCAGTTCAACTCAACCCCTTCATTTATCTCTCGTTGTAGTTCTTAATCTTTTCAGCCCTTTGTGGATTCCTTGGGATTTCCTGGCCGAAAGCCACTTCAAAAGGGCTTTTGCCCTAGGACAAGGGTCTCCAAACTTTTTACATTGAGGGCCACACCTGATATTTTCAAAGTTTTTGAGGACCAAATGAACAGGAATGTGTGCGCACATGTTCATATGCACATCCGCATGCATGCACACAGCTGCACCCCGCATGCATGCATGAATGCCCTCTCACCCCCACACACATCTGTCCAGCTGCACACGCACACGCACACCCTCACCCACCTACCTGCATGGATGGCTTCCATTCTATCCGCCACTGCTCTTTACCCTCAACACTCCAGATTTTGAGCTAGCCACTAGGTCTTGTAAATCCTGAGGAAAAATGGTTTCTCTTAAGTAGGTATTTTTCCTTATCTTAGGATTCCCCAGATCAGGTTTCAGAAGCCCTGAAACTAAGTCTTCACTCTAATGGGTAACCACTTCTTACCATAGATCCTAACCCCTTCTAGCTAGGAATACCTTTAAACTCAGGCCCATTCAACTTTTCACTGGATTGCTTCAGATCCCAGCACTGTGCCACCAATTTGTCATGATCCCCACGTGACCCCTGTTTGTTTCACCAGACTCACACTACATCAACATTACCTATTAATCGAGGTCCAAGCCATATGTCATTTTAAAAAACCCAAATAGAAATTGTTTATTGTTACAGATGTTGACAGGACAATGTTCTTAACTCTTAAATAAACATTCTCTCCTTTATCCACTCTCAACCATCACTCTGCTGCCCAAACCCACAAAACTCTTCAACTCTCTCTCCCAATCTCAAAATTCCCTATTGAAACTCCCCCTCCTCCTGCTGAGTCTCTTATATCTTGTGACTCTGCCCCTCCAGCACTCCTATTGGTCTATGCAGATATCATATGAATATTCATGACCTGGGCAGATGCCACACTGACCATTCCACCAAATCAAATGCCTTGAAACTCTAATGCTAATAACCCTGCTTTTATTTTTGTCTCTTTTATTGTATAAATTACGTTGAATACCCTTCTCATTAAATCCCCATTTGTTTACTTTGTAAAAGTCCATTTTGATCTTTCCCAATGTATTTATCAACAAAACAATTCAATCTTATAGCTAGTATAGCTGTAAATATCTTAGCATCCTGATTTATTGATGAAATTGGTCTATATGATCCCATATTCGTCAGATCCTTATCTGGTTTCAAGATTAATATGATCATTGAACATTTCTATGACAAGGGAATTTCTTCAACCTCTAGTATTTTGTTAAATAAAGCTTCCAATTTAGAGATGAGAGCTGGGGCTGCAAAAAAAAACACAACAAAACAAATCCAAAAATAAACAGAAACATAACCCCACCAGCCCAATCCCACTCTTCAAAAGCCACCCAAAACAGTTTTTTAAAAGCAAAAAGCAGCACCTCTCCTCCACCGCCACGCCCGCCGCGCACCGATGATTTGGAAGTGT